TTTTTACTGGAGTAATTTTAAATTGCCACGCTCAGAAATATGCCGACCCATATTTTTTTGCGTTTTTCAGAATGCGTATGTTTTCACCCGTAGTGGAATTTCTAAAAAATCGGTCAAAATCAGAATTTGTCAAAACGCTGTCACTTTTTGAATTTTAACCCGATTTAAAAAATGAAGCACAGTTTGTTCTCAGAATTGCTCTTAAATTATAAAAACCCCATTAAAAAAATTTTTAATTTTAAAAAACTTAGAAATAACATTAATAACGTAAAATTTCATAAAATGAAGTTTTATAGTGCTTCTTACCAAAAATTATTTTTGATTTTTGAAATCGGGTTAAAATTCGAATAGTGACAGCGTCTTGAAAAATTCTAATTTTTTAAAATTCCGTAACTGGCGAAAACATTTGCATTTTGGAAACCCCCAAAAATATGGATCCGCTTATTTATAAGCGTGAACAATTTAAAATTAGTCCGGTAAAAATCGGCGATAATCACGTCCACACCTCATCATTGTTAGATTGAGCAATAATGGGGGTCTCCCAACGCACATATTCTCACAGATTTCGACCGAAGTAGTGTCAATCGATCAAAAATTTAACTAGTATGAAATTTGCAATATTTGCATCCGAAAAAGACAAAGCGGGGAGTAAAATCGGTGCATTTTGCAGTTGAATTTTTCTCAAAACTCTCGCTTCTCGTGATACATTTTTCAAAATAATTGCTTCATTTGTATACCATATTAATCCTATCTTAATTGATATTAAGAAATTCATTACAAAAGTTGCTTCTTAATTTTAAATAGGCTAGGAAGCCGTTCGTAGATATATTTAAAGAAGAATCTGAGTGCTAAGAGTTTTGCAATTTGTCGTAGTTCCATGCACGGACCATAATCATGAAAATTATACTGTCTAAAATTTCTACCAACGCCTTTCTAACCTATAAACAAATTGATAGAATCAATTTTTGCAATGAATTTATTAATATTAACTAAGATAAACTAATCCAAGGACTTTTGTTAACGATTTTATAATTGACATTAATTAGTAATTAGAAAGATTCTGAAGAAGGACAGAAATTGTGCAAATTAGTTAGTTAAATAATTTTATAAATCGCAGGGATTATTCTGCACGGAGCGATAATTTTGAGAGGGGAGAAAATGTTACTCTGCAAAATCTCTTTGCATTTGACCTTTTTCTGCAGAGTGAAAAGTGCAGAGTTCACGATGCATAAAAAACGCTCTGCCTTTTCACTTTTCCGAAAGTGCAGAGTGAAAAGTGCAAAGTGAAAAGCGTGACCATGAAAAATTGGGCCCTGGTCGCAATCTGGGAGAATCCGGCTTTCTCATGTTGAGTGAGTAAAATACGTAGGATTCATTTCATGAGTGCCATGGTTTTCATGATATTTCATGAGGAAAGACAAACAAGTTGGTCCAGTGATAGGTAGATAACTTGTGTAACTCTGGATGTAAATTTCTGATATAAAAATTTACCCTTTACGATTACGATTTGTCTGCCCATGTGTGTAGGTGTGTCTGTATATATTTATAACTATTGTGCACCATGGTTATCATTTGTGTCCATGAAATACATACATATGTAAATGCAGTCTTAAATTAAATTTGGGAAGGATAGGATTTATTTTCATATCTTAGATATGATTAGATTATAGCATTATAATAAAATAGGTAATGCGCACTTTTAAATAGACTATTCAAATTCTCAAGCAACAATTATAACTCAGCTATTCTCACGCTAAATGTATCAGTTGCAGCCAAAAAAAACGCGTAGCCCGGACCTTTTTCGTAGATATTTAACTATTTACATATCCGAATACCACGAAATTACCAATTAAAAAAATATCTGTAATATGCACAGCCGTAGAGTGAAAGTGGTTTATGTAATTAGACTAATTCAACAATTTATTTATCTTTCCTGATTAAAACGCAAGCAATAAATTAATACTATTTTCCAACATGAACATCAATATTGTAGTCTTCACGTTGTTCGTTATTCTCGAAAATCGCGCTGTTCCTAAGCCAACCGGAATCGCGATCGGTTTCAAATAGTACAACTCCTTCAAGTAAATTTTCCTCTCAGGTTCCCCCATTTTTTGGAGGATCTCAAGCCTTCTAAATTGCAGTAACACCTTAACCGAAGTCTCGTCCAGATTGGCCAACGTGTCCAAAATAATTTTCGTCAAAATTACCGCGCTCACACTAACGCCTAAGCAAAACCCCGTCATGTAAACGTCATTAACAGCATGCAGCTTAATGACGACGAACGTACAGCCTGAAACGGCAACCGTTCCGGCAACAATGGCCAAACTCGCGGTAGATTTCATGGGGGCTTCCAAACTTTGAAATATTATGGGTAAAACTTTATAAATTTTCAAATGTGACCAAAGCCCGTGTTGAATTATGTTCTCCTGAAAGGTATCAGTTAAGCGGGACACACTAGATAGATAGGAAACCACCACTTTGCCGATAAGGATGGTTAACCCGATACAAAATGCCGCCAAACGGAAACCTTCGTACAAGAAAACTGTGACACAGCCGACTCTGACTAAGAACATGGCAAAATAGAAGAGTGCTTCTGAATTAAAGGCGAAAAATAAGAGAAGTTTGCGCAGTTGGGGAATCATGTTTAGGACGAATTCAAAGAAGGGGAGGAGCGGATCCACTGTGAGGAATGTTGTGACCGCGGCGTCTATCGGCGTGACGAAGTAGTACATCCAGACGAGGAGTTTGAAACCGAGGAGAACTGTTTTCTCGAGGAGGGTGGCTTTCACGGGGATGTGTTTCGTTTGACTGCTGTCTGTAAAATTTGGATAACGAGATTTGTAAAATACGTGCCCTCATTGCGACCATCATTCTCAAAACAGAACAAAAATTCGATTCGATTCGTCGAGTTTCGAACCGAGTCCATTAATACAAACTGGAACTCGACCATACCTGTGCAGCTTCACTCAATTTCGGCGAATTGAAGCCTCATTCACGATGAAGGGAGTGAAGGAGAATGAAGCTGAGTGAGGGAGTTGAAAATTTTGATCGAGTGAGTGAAGGTGAGTGAGGGAGGCCAAAATGAGTGGAATGAAGGGTGAAGGAGATGAAGGCGGCTTCATCTCTTCACTCCTTCGTCTAAGGGGAAGAAGGGTGAAGTAATATGGGGTAGATAATTAGTTTACATACTCAAATAAGCGTCGCAATATAAACATAGTATCGTCTCATATTACCCCACACAATTTTAATTATGATGACACGAGGGACTTAATTGAATGAAAGAAAGAGTGAGGAAAATAGGTGAGTGAGGGGAATGAGAATGAGTGAAGTGAAGGGATTGAGTGAGTGAAAGGAATGAAGGAGTGAGAATGGGATTTGTCAGTGAGTGAAGCCTCACTCAGCCTTCCTTCACGCGAGTAAGGGGAGTGAAGGGCAATTTGTGTCGAGGTGGAAATAAGTGAAGTTGAGTGAAGTGAGATTCACTTGCACAGGTATGAACTCGACGGATCCAGTCATACTCGACTCGAAAATTTAATCGAGTTAACAGTGGACTCGAATTCGGTTCGCTTCGGGACTCGATAAATCGAATCGACTTAACTCGACTCATTTGGAGCTCTATGAACACCAATTTACATATTACTACAACCTTTTTAAAGGGCATACAAATCTGGGACTGCCTCTTTTTAAAAGTGTTCGTTTTTCCCGATTATCTATTTACCTTTTCTTAGTTCTTCCTCCCACCGGAAGATCTCGTTGCACATGAAAATTGCGTCACTTTGGTACACCAACATCCACAACGTGTAGAAGACAAGCCCACTAAAGCAGGCGATGCCCAGCACGAACCACCCCCACATTTTCGCATCCCCCATCGGCCTTGCCACCAAAGGGGTTCGGAGCCGCGTAGCGACAATGAAGAGAAACACGGCTGAGGCAAAGATAAACGCTGGGAAAAGTGAGACGACCCGGTCATTGCGCCGTTTTACTTTGGATAGTCGAATCCCATTACCTTTCGTGCGACGGATTTCGAACGGAAGTTTATACATGAGCGGGAAATGGTCGAAATACAAGTTTTGCAAGGTTTGCAAAAGCTCGATGTACGTTGATAACATTATTTCATGAAGTACTTTTTATTGTAAGAACGTTTCTGAAAGCAAGTAGTGTTTTTGCATCCAATTTTGCGACTGGATATAACTTAAAATAAATTCACTTGACGAAAACATTACTCAACTTAGAAGCAATTAATTAATTGAAAGGTTTTCCGTCTTATATATAAATCAGTAAATATTTAAAATCAAATTCCCCCCAAGGTAATCAACTATATTGTTTCAGTATGTAATGTACGCACGTATGTACATACGTTCATAGTTTAAAAATATTTGACCTTTAAATATCCATCAAGGAATAATCTAAGCAATTGATCTGATTATTTTCTGGATGAACATAGAAATTAACTGATTAACGAAATTTTTCCAGTTCGATATTGCGTTGCCCATGTACTTCAGATTATTATCGTACGTATTAGAGTTACACACGTGTACACATTTAGGGAACGTCCATATATTACGTTATCATTTTATTGAGTGGGTGGCTTAGGTCTTCCTGTCTTTTTTATGTTAAAATTACATATCCCTTAATGTATGTATACGTTGGGTGGGTGATTGCTAAATTCGAGGACTTATTATGACGTAATATATGGATGGCCCCGTATGTAAGATGCTTTCTACGATGTAGGCTAAAAACTTAATTAAAAGTATCACATCCACAAAATCATAATTACGGTAAGTCCAGATCGAAGTTGCTTTACATACGAATATAAAAAATAAAAAATATAAAATATAAAAAATATCTATATATGTATTTCCTACCAATGTACATAGATTGATGATGTGGTAAAATTATTAAAAAATTGGTGCTTAACAAATTAATGCAGGCTGCTTCTAGCATCGAGCTAGGTTAGCTACAAAAATTGAAAGCATAATTAAAGAAAATCAGACGTCAAGTTCGATACAGAAGAAAAAGTTTTATTAATTGACGTTTGCGTAATATTTATTATGCATGCCAATTTTTTGTGTCTAATTATTAACAATTAAGAGTTAATTGAAAACATTAATGTTCCTTGTCTGTAAACTTATTGACCCAAAAATCAAATTCCGAATCCGGACAATCGTTTACTCTTTCGTGCAGCAATAGTCCTTTCGTCCCCACCCGAACAGCCCACATTTCTTGTCATACTGGAATTCCGTCATGCCACGCCCACCCGTCGCCGCGGTGCTACACCGTGTTTGCACGATAGTCCCAAACTCGCGGCACCCACTGTATCCGCATTCCCGAGCTAAACAATGTTTTAAGGAAATTTATATATTTCGAAATTGTATTAGCAACTAAAATTTTGAGGAAATTCACGCAGGTAGATATTAGCAACATTATACATACATATTCTGTAAATTTACAAACTTTTACAAAATTTTGCAAATAGGCCTAAGGAAAAGTAGCTTACAAGTTTTTGTAAACGAACCCTTGATCAAAAGCTCTTTTTTATTTTGTAATAATTAATAAAATTATTTTAAATAACGGATTTTGCAAGGATACCAATTGATGGGTAAATTGCGTCAATATTTAGCAATCCAAAACCGACGGATACCTATTTACCTTGAGTCCCAATCGTTACGGCACAGAGTAAAATTGTGCAAAAGACAATTGCAGTGGAAAATTTCATGGTTCCGCGTGAAATTCTAGTCCTTTTTGTTCAGAAGAAAGTAACGGTTTTGTTGTCCGTGTCGGGACAAAGGCTAATCTTCTTCTGATTGCAATAGCAGGCATAGGAAAACTTTTTATATCAACGAAACCGCATATTGTTATGCACATTTCTCGGAAAAAGTCAAACTTATATAAATATGTATATTTAATCTGTCTTTCACTTCTGCCTGTGCGCGTGATAATCACAACCGAATCTTGTATGACATCGAATAATGTAAATAATCAGTGTCACTGAATTATTTACTTAAAAAAATACCAATTGTGTTTAAGCAGTATTAATGGGTGGAATTAAAATTGTGGAATATTTATTGATTTCTCAAATTATAATAAATACTTATATATGTAGGAATCAAGAGTTCATAAGGTACATACATATGTATCTCACTCATCTTTTGAACATCAAATATGTACATACATACCTACGTTAATAAATATTCATTATCATGGACCAATAACTGTCATGAGTCGAGAAGAGTGCGCAGCAGAAATTGAGTATAGCATAATGAGTCGAAGAGGAATTTTATTATCATGAATTAAATGTTCTCAACATTATGCATGCATAACGCCAACTGGGATGTCTTTCTCCGCATTATGTATTCGATACATAACATTTAAAGTTAAGATGTATTAAAAATCGGCGACGAGGAAATTGTCCGTATATACTTACTTTTGAGATTTTTTTACGGAGTTTGAAATTTAAAAAATAATGAGATCATGGCGATATAAAAATTATGTCATTGCAACGTTAACAAACAGAATTTACATAGCAGATCACTCGTCACTCGACAAATAAAAAAGTATAGGTTTCGAGTTTTGGGTCCTTGCAACTCGAAATTTTTTCTTTGACACCTTACATATTTCTTAATTCAGTTAACAAATTGGCCATTGCGTCCTGAATATATTTATTTATCACACAATTGCGACACATTGCTTACTTCAGACTACAAATTTCTCAAGTTGAGTCTATGTAAATATGTATGAATATTAACTAGTAAAAATTAGTGGAATGGTTGCATGTCCGGGTGTAACGAAGTTTAACGAACTTATTTATTTGGGAGAAGTTCACAACTTGGTCTATGTACATACATTCCTCATGGAGAAAAGGTCTATTTTATTTTTAGAAAAGGAGTAAACTGAACGATAAAAAAATAGGATTAAAATTAAACATATTTACTTCATCGACCAGACAGCTCTGCTTTAAAGATTGCCATTAAATCATCGATTCTCCCGTCTAAAAATTATTTATTGTCATGGAAACGATCAACCCAGTTGAACAAGCTGCCCCCGACAACTATACTGACACGGCCATGTCGGAAGCTTTGATGAATCCGTTGGTGAGTCAATACCGACATAATTCATTATTTAATTTTGTTGTTCAAATAATATATTTCCGTTCAAAATTCATTCGATTGAAAGACTATAAAAAATATTTATTTATTGTAAATTTTGCATTAATTTTATCTCAAATTTGGTACATTGGATGGATTTCGCAATACATATATATCCCATATATATTTTAGGCGTAATGTACAGTGAAACATGAGTAGTTAATAAAATTATGCATTTCCTCTTCATGAATACAGATACGAAAGGAATAAATATTAATTCAAGACTAATATTCATTCATTCGAAAATTATGAAAAAAAATATTCCATCATTACTCATGAATTTGTTGAATACATACATAACTTATTATTTAATTCTGTATTTAATAACTGAACGTGAACAATTATACATTCGTAACGCATAAGTATATCTAATAATTTTAAAATTTCCCAAGGTTCTCGACCTCATATTCGCCAAACTAAGCGTCCGCGGCTTGAAAACGTGTCGCCTCGTGTGCCGTGAGTGGGCCGATGTCGGCGTCAATTTACTCGCCAAGCGGACCTTCCTCCAACTCCATAAGCTCTTCCGGTACGACGATGCATCCAAGTTATTCCAGGTGAACCACGTGGATTCCAAATTAACCCAGCGCCTTATCATCTACAACACCTTGTTCCCCTCCATTCCGACCAACGATAAGACCAGCGTCCTCACTGAAGCGATAAGAATGCTAGATTCGACAAAAATCCAAAACATTTCCGTTTTCTTTAAACCCCAGAAATTTAGGGGTCTCCAAATCCCCAAAGGTAAAGTTCAGCCGTGTCGACTCCTCCCAATTCTGAGTAACTTGACTTCCATCAAGTTCGAGCTTTTCGGAATTATTCGAGAAAAAACGAGGAACTCGTTTCACCCTGTGCTCCAAATTTTGATCGACGCTGCACCAAACTTGACCTCTTTGGATGTTTCGGGATCATTCTATCCGAATTTGGAGGGTTGTAAAAAGCTCAAGATTTTGAAACTCTTTAACGTGAAGTGTGCCGATACTAGAATATGTCCTAAGCTGGACGTGGCCGCGGTGACGAGAATGTTAGCACAGGTGAAGGACTCCCTGGAGGAGATGGAATTGCGCCACATCGGGGGTGTCGTTTCTCAGGTAAGCATTAAGCAAACCATGGAAGAGACCTTGTACAAAAAGTCATTGATTTTGATGCTGTCTAGCTGTAATACTGCACTCTTAAAAATAATGTTTCCCCTTTTGAGAACAAAATATGAATTTTATATACTACGCTAAATAAATACAGAGTAGCATTAACTTGATCAAGAGGAAAGCTTACTCTGGATTTATGTCGAATAGTTTACTCAATATACATTAAACTAAACCAAATCGTATTTTCTTTTGAAAAGTATAACATTATTTTTAAGAGTGTATTCAATATTTCTTCGGATCCTTAGTATGTATTCTTCGCATCGTAAAATAACTTACGACGCTTACAAGATTTTGTAAGCGGCGTAAAATTTTCTCATCGTAAATTACGTTACTATCTACACTTCGGATTTGCACTAAACCTGACCCCTTGTTTTTTTTGAAAACTATTTTACGATACCAAGGATACGAAGAAATTTAATGAATAACGGGAATCGAAATGTGGGACTGTAGCTCCTATAAAAAATCAAAAAGTTGTGCATAATTTGAAATCCAAATTTGGCATACATTTTAGCACCATAATCTTGAGGTTCCAGTCATGTCGCAACTCGCCTCTCTCACCCTCAACCCGGCTCATTTGAATTTAAGCCACGCCCTTTTTGACGGAAAGCATCTCCCAAAACTGAACCACCTCGAGTTAAACGACTATTTTGACGTCTCACCCGATTTGTCGACCCATTTGGACGTGTGGGGGCGACACGAAGGCGTTGTCTCTCTCTCGCTCCGACTGGATCATTACGGGCTGAACGATGCCATCGAGGGAAAGCTTGTCCAATTATTTCCCTCCGTTAAGAAGTTATACTTTCCACAGTACGGATGACACCCAAAGGATGGCACACTTCGAAATGTGGGATCTAGAACAGGCCTGCGTAACCGGAGACGGTGGAAGGTTTGGCCTGGATGCATTTCCCTTGCTTATCGGAGCCCTTAAGAACATATCAAAGTGGAAAGGTATGTACATATGTACACTCTTAAAAATAATGCTATTTTTTTGAAAAGTAAATGCTCTCTGAATTCTGTGCTACTGTAAAATTTGATATTTTTATGCCGTTCCTTCCTTATTAATATGTATCTACATGTCTATAAAACCTTTTGGTAAAAGTTTCCACATAGTCAATACAATTCGCTCAAATCTTTCTATAAAAAGTCGGTGTTAATTAATCTCGAATTACCAGAAATATTTAATTAGTATCTAGGTAATTAAGTCGGTGTTAATTTGACAGTAAATAATTTACTTTTCTACTGGTAATTGTGTATCAGTCAAATTTTGACCGATACACAAACTCTGGGTTAAGTATAGTTTGCTTAACGTAGAATTCAAAGTGCGTCTAATGTTCTAAAAGGTAACATTATTTTTAAGAGTGTATGCTTTTTTGGGGTAAAATCCTAAGCGAAAATAACAAGATTACATATAACTAACTGTTTTCTAGGCGTTAAACGCTTCGGCTTCAATAACACTTGCTTCACGTATGACAACTTCGTTCGCCACGTTGAAGACCTCGTCGAGTATAGTGCAAGTTTTAAACGGGTAGAACTCTCGGGTTATGTGGTAAGTCGGGAAAGGAAACAAATTGCGTTTTTTAAATTTTGTATAATGTAAATATATATGCATTTCTTTAGGAACCGGGAATTTTGGAATTACTTCGACCCATGCTTGCAGCTCGTGGTGCAGTCCTTGATTTATCTGGATATATGTTGAGTATACATCAAACGTAAATATGTACGGAGTTTCGTACCAATGTTTAATTTTGAACGGCAAGACGTTCACTTTTTTTATGATACAAATATTTCCAGTCTTAAAAATAAAGCGTTACATAGAAACGAATATAGAAAAGTAGCTTAATAAAGATTGAAATTTCTTTTCAAATGACACCGTACATAGATATATAACATTTTCGCATATTTGACCTGTGATCTCCACGTCACGGTGTTTAGGTCAAAAATATTGGCGGCGTCGAATTTGTAATGAAATTTCCTTTAAAATGACACATATAAAAAATTAATGCTAAAGTTAATTTTGGACCACGTCCCCTCTCGCCTGGCCTGGGGTGTGGTCAGGTTGACTCCGTTACCTATTTAACTCAATCGATAACTGTGTATAAATTAGAAGCACAATGGTGTAAACCCTTCTTGCGTATGTTTGAATTTATATTTATTATTATTTATTATTGTTGCTAATTTATTTATTAATGTTTATTATTTTTAATAATGTTGTGAAGTGGTAAAATTCTATGTAATCAATCAGGATAATTTATGTTTTGCATTTTCAAATATGATATAAATGTTAGCATAATAACTTAATAACGGTATTCTTGACCCGAAATAGGCGTCGTCTACTCTTTAGAGCAGCAATAGTCTTTTCTTCCCCAACCGAACAAGCCACACGTTACGTCATACTGGAATTCCGTCAAGCCACGCCCACCCGTCGCTGGGGTGTCGCATCTTGTCCGAACGATCCCCCCAAATTCTCGGCATCCACTGTACCCGCATTCTCGAGCTAGAGATATAGTTTTTCAAGACAATTATTTCGCAAACGAGAAATTCACTCTTAAAAATAGTGTTAACCCTTTGAAAAGTAACCGCACTCTGAAATTCAGAGTCTGAATTCTACATTAAGTAAGCTATTTCTAAATTCCGTGTAAAGTTTACTAATTGTCAAGTCAACGCTACGTTGGATTTAGTTTAGTTTACTTATTTGGAATCCAGAGTTTATTTATATTTTAAAGGAGTAACATCATTTTTAAGTGTGTATTTAAAAAAATCTTTAGTTACCTCTAGTTCCCGTCAGAGCGGTGCAGACTAGTGCACTGGCGTAAATAGGGGTAGGTGGGGGAGGTCCCACATATCGGCCCCCAAGATGAGACGGCCCCCGGCCGTCGGACGCTTGTGTGTATATATTATTGGATTTTTTCATTGACAATTAAAATATTTAAAGACAGGAATAATTAGTCGAAGTAATTTATATACTGGCAAATCTAAATCTGTTAGCATCTCTTGCACTAGTGCAGGTTGTTTTTAGTTTACAAAAAAAACATTTTTAGACAGGCTGTACACTCCGACCGGTAAAACAAGGACACCTAACAATTTGTCTAATTTCTCAAAGGCCCTTCAAGATATTTAGCTGCTTTTTTCACCATGACGTACTACAGTGTGTAGTAGTCTTGTTGCAAATTTTCGTTAAAATTAGTACAGGGGCGGAGAAATTATCAAATAATATGTTAAAATCAGGTGGCCAGTAAAACAAGGACACCTTTGGAATTATTGCTTTTTGAATCATTTATTTTGAACTTTGTCAATTCTGTTTCAGATCAATACTCAGAATAGCTATCCCCTTTATAGATGGTCGACAAATTTTAATTTTTCATCTACCCTATGTGCTGATTAATGACACTGGTTGGCATTGAATCACATGCATCAATGCATCTTTGTTTTACTTGGAAAACTGTTGAACATGATCGCCTATTTGCATAGGCTTTACGTTATAAGTATCCCTGAATATTTTAAATCTAATTTAGACCCGAACTCCTCAATGGCTAAGGCAGAAAGTCGATACCGTTGTCTTAGAACCATTTCTTTGATTACCGAAATGCATAATATGGTGTATTTTCTGGTTGACACATCCATTCTTTCTTGCGAAGTTGTGTTTCGGATGAAATCAATTACTCTTGAGATGTTTCTATGACCGTGTAAATTAAAATTTGTACGAACAAATACCATTTCGGACCTCATTCCGCGACCGACGAAAACCTAAATCATGACCCAATCTCCACCGTTCTGTTTATGGCAAAAATTAAGGTTTTCCTTGCGAAGGTCTTGAAAATAATAGTTGCAGCTATCAGGTCCGCCGCAGGTAACTCATTTCTGGTCGTTAAATACGGTGTAATCCCCCATAGAAGTCCACGTCATTTGTTGTTTCGCCCGTTGGAATCCGCCATCTTTTTACTTCTGGGGATGTACCGGTTTCATCTTAATTTTCCTCTTGCTGAGGTTGGACCAAGCAGACATGACTTGAATAGTTTCAGATGTTGAACTAGGAAGATAAAACCCCGCTCAAATCTGGCAAATCGTTACACAGGGGTTGCTAGAGCGACGGAGAATAGTGAATTTTTAAATTTGTATCGTTTAACGTGTGCGTCTTCGCTTTTAGTTCCACTGAAAGTGTCCCCCTTGACCTTTAACCTTGTTACAGAGGGTCGGCGGACACTTAGGTGAGTGTACATTTTGGAAATACTCCGCCATAAAGCACATTGAGCTTCTACTCTGCCCCTCTGCAACAAGTACGGGAATTTACCCCTCACTATGCGAAATCTACCGAAGAAAATAGTAAATTTATGTCATAAATTGACCAAAATATCCCAAATGTACTGAAATTTTAATTTCCTACCACAATTCGGCATATTTTAATTACTTTCGCTGAAAACAATCAATTTAATTTGGGGTGTCCTTGTTTTACTGGCCACCTGATTTTGACATATCTATATTATAATTTCGAAAAGTCCGTCCCGTGAAATTTTCCGTGACATTCCTGCATTCTGATTGGTTGTTGACTTTCCAGCTCCACCAATCAGGGAACAGATGCGAATTATGATTATGATTATGATTATGATTGGTTGCCGGCTTCCTGGCTCCACCAATCACACCACGGATATGATTACGGTAATCATTTCGGTTATGATCTCGGTTATAATTACGGTTATCATTTCGGTTATGATTTACGGTTATGATTACGGTTATGATTTCGGTTATGATTACGGTTATCATTTCTGTTATAATTTCGGTTCTGATTTCGGTTATGATTTTGGTTATGATTTCGGTTATGATTTCGGTTATGATTTTTGTATGATTTTGGTTATTATTACGGTTATGATTTCGGTTATAATTTCGGTTATGATTTCGGTTATAATTTCGGTTATGATTTCGGCTATGATTTTGGTTATGATTTCGGTTATGATTTTGGTTATGATTTTGGTTATGATTACGGTTATGATTTCGGTTATGATTTCGGTTATGATTTCGGTTATAATTTCGGTTATGATTTCGGTTATGATTTCGGTTATGATTTTGGTTATGATTTCGGTTATGATTTTGGTTATGATTTCGGTTATGATTACGGTTATGATTTCGGTTATAATTTAGGTTATGATTTCGGTTTAGGTTATGATTTCGGTTTAGGTTATGATTTAGGTTATGATTTCGGTTATGATTTCGGTTATAATTTCGGTTATGATTTGGTTATGATTTCGGTTATGATTTCGGTTATGATTTCGGTTATAATTTCGGTTATGATTTCGGTTATGATTTTGGTTATGATTTCGGTTGTCATTGCGGTTATCATTTCGGTTATGATTACGGTTATGATTTCGGTTATGATTTCGGTTATGATTTCGATTATGATTTTGGTTATGATTTCGATAAGGGTCAACCAGATATCCTAAACCAGTCTTATGAGGCACTAATATTGTTTCGAAATAATAACTTCGTTTTCAAGATTTCGTGCACGGTCTTGAAAGCAAGACTTAAGTGCTCAATTGCGGCACGAGCGTTTTTTCATGAGAAACGTGTTCAGACTTTTCACCGTTGGAGAGAAATTAAATGAAAAAAATCGACAGATTATTTCTCTATATTTAGGTACCTGACATCCATTTAAGTATGCGGAAGTTAATGAGGTTACCACCATGTATGTACTTTGGTGGGTAGACTGGCCCGAAAGCCAGGCTGCGGCGGTAGAGCATTAAAGTCTAATTGCCGGCTCCCCAAATACACGTGCTAGTATGGCTAGCCTGCACATGTCCTCACTGCTATACGACTACCCCATCATGCACAGTCCCGTGGAGCAAGGGCATCCCCACGGTTCACTAATGGTGGTGGTAAATGAGCAGTCAGGATCTGCAGGTATTTAACAGGTGATGGTTAGAGAACGGGGCGGACCCCCTATCCTCACGTCTCCTGCATCCCCGTCACAAGTTCGCAACGTTACACCGGATTGCTGCCCCTTGCAACAGACCAGTAAACCCAAGTAACCACTCCACCCATACCTGACCATACTATTTGCACATTTAATATATGCCCTTTGGATGCAAAGACAACCATAGATAGGTATGCCTGCATAATCCACTCGACAGTAATGTCTAGTAAACTAGACTACTGGTAGGGCAGCCAGCTTCTCCCAGAGCAATTTTTGGTTCCCGGTGGCACCCCGTCCCTGCACTTCGGTTGGGTCATAAGTGCTTAACTTTGGTCCGTCTATAGAGCCAAAGCCACCACCTCACCAACGCTGGCATAGGTTACCACCATAGGGTGAATTGGATCGAGTTGGCAGGAGAAGGCAAATCTCTGTTTTTGCCGCAAAGTGTAAAATTTGTAGCCAAAAATTATTTGCAAAAAGTCCAAGGGCCAATCTTTAAACCAACGAATTCTCCGATAACCAACATAGGCCCTTTGTACTAAATTCTGCCCCTGCAAATGGCGGACAATTGCCTTTTTCTTTTCCAATTTGAGTTTGAGCAAGATTTTTTCGCCTTGTAAGGGCATCGATTTTTCCAAAAACGGTATGCGAAAACTTTTTGGGAGGCTGGAAGTTTATTGGGGATGCCAGTCCCGCTAATTTAGATATTGATCTAATTAAAGCGAAATTAAGTTCAAGATATGTTGAAGAACGGCAAAACTCTATTAAGATAATTTCAACTTCTCACAATTTTCCTTCGTGACAATTTTCTTTCAGAAAAATGCGTAAGGAGATGGTCGACTTCAGATGTAGATTTCTTTGGTGTTTGTTGACCGTTTT